CCCGGAGCCGGCTCCTGGCTGGGCCCCTGCCGCCCTTCCGCTGGGGCCTGGCTCACGATACAGCCATTGTGGCCAGGCCTCCTGCACCTCCGCCCTCGTGGGGCGGCCCTCGGGGCAGGGCTGGGTCGGCTCCACTTTTCTGGGCGCCTGAGTCCCCGCGAGGTCAGTCAGTCGTTTCAGTCCGGCTCTTGAGGTCCCCACCCCACTTTGATGTTCAACCACTCACCCCACCTGCTGGTACCCCTCCCGTCCAGTGCCCCAAGTCCCTCCTCCCCTCCCTCTGCCACTGCCCTAGGACCTAGAGCCTAGGTCAAACTCTGATCTGTGACCTCGCCCCTTGCACGGTAACAAGAAACCCAACCTAGGTCCAGCGCTTTGATTCCCCTTCTCTCAAGCCCTTTCTCCCTCTGTACGGCACAGTCCAGGGCCTGGAGGTCCTGTAAGCTCTACCTCCAAAGGACTGAGTAGCAGAATGAGTCCCTTTTTCTCTTCCAGACACTAGTTCTCCCAAACCCCAAGTTCTTTTCATCAGAAGCTTCCTAGTGTCTCCATGTGGCCTTGGAAGCTCTGCTCAGATTGCACCTCCTCGGAGATGCCCGCCGGCCTCAGCAGCGGGCGGGCGGGGCCGAGGTCAGTCAGTCGTTTCAGTCCGGCTCTTGAGGTCCCCACCCCACTTTGATGTTCAACCACTCACCCCACCTGCTGGTACCCCTCCCGTCCAGTGCCCCAAGTCCCTCCTCCCCTCCCTCTGCCACTGCCCTAGGACCTAGAGCCTAGGTCAAACTCTGATCTGTGACCTCGCCCCTTGCACGGTAACAAGAAACCCAACCTAGGTCCAGCGCTTTGATTCCCCTTCTCTCAAGCCCTTTCTCCCTCTGTACGGCACAGTCCAGGGCCTGGAGGTCCTGTAGGCTCTACCTCCAAAGGACTGAGTAGCAGAATGAGTCCCTTTTTCATCTCCAGGCCTAAAACCCAGCCCCCGTGGCGATCATCTCCCTCCTGAACTTCCAGAATGCCTTCTAGCTGTACCCCCGTGTGGCCTGTGGGCTCCTTGATTATTCTCACAGCAACTAGATCGTGTCACATCCCTGCTTAAAATCTGGTTCAGTCCAATTTGAAAGTGGGCAAAGGGCAGGAATAGACATCTCACTGGTGTCACAGATGGCATAAAGGCACAGGGAAAGATGGTCAACACTATTAGCCATTAGGGAAATGCAAACTAAACCAGAAGTAGACATCACTACACACCGACCGGATGGCTAAAATCAGACAGTGATAATACCAAGTGCTGGGAAGTATATAGAGAAACCGAGTTTCTCATCGATTCCTGATGGGAATGTGAAATGGTATAGCCACTCAGTAGGACAGTGTCTAACAAAACTGAACATGACCTTACGTGAACACCAAGCTTTAAACTGCAAGGTCTCAGCTCAAAAGTCACCTCCTCCGGGAGGCCTTCCCTGACCACCCCACCCAAAATAGCCATCCCCAATCACCTGTCCACCATTAGATTACATTAGAGACCTCTCACCACCTGAAATTATTTATTGGTTAACTTGTTTATTACCTGTCCCCCTTGACCCTTCTGTGGCCCCAAAACTTGAATCAAAGCTCCAGGAGATCAGGAACCTTGTCTTTCGTGTCCCCAGCACCTAGCACAGTGCCTGAGAAATACACATCTGGTGAATCAATGAATGAACACTCCCCTTACTGATCTCTCTGGTCTCCCTCCAATTCCCCTCCACACTGCAGCCAGGGGAAGTTTTTAGAAAGTGCAGATCTGGCCAGGTCAATGCCTGGCTTATAAATCCCCAATAGTTCACTGCCTCAGTAGCTTCTTGTCCTCTGGACTCCCTGTGTGTGTGGCATGGTTTCTTGGGAAGGGGGTGAAATCCTATATAATAAAAGGGTAATATGCAAATTGACCCTAATGCTGGAATGATCAGAACGACCGCTGGACCAGTCACTATGAGGTGCACTTACCACCTCTCGGTCTCTTTCCCCAGCCAGCAGGCTCCAATCGCCTGATGGTGAATGGGGAAGGGGGGAGGG